GGGGTGAGCACACTGTCAATAGCACTGGAATTGTACATTTGTAAAGCTCAAACCTGTTAAGCAGGTTCAAGCCTTCGTGTATTCTCTGGTGTCTTACCTACTTCATTTGCAAAATGTGAAGGTTAACTTAGAGATTTTCTCCATTTTGTATTACTCCAGAATGTCTCTCTTCCTCTGTAACCTGGAGTGGTTTAGAAAATAAAACCAGCCTTTAAATATTGTCCACATTACAGCACAATAAAGACTAAAGTATCTCTGCAGGAAATATGTTCACAAAATACTACAGACACTATACATCTGTTCAATCTACATTACTTTCATGCTTAGATCAGCAACAATAAGGACATTGATAGCCAGTGCAGTGTGATTTTAAGAATGTCACAACCTATTTATAAGTATTGGCTTCATTCCATTAACTGAAGATGCAAACCTACACAGGACAGTCCTTGGTTTAGATCCTTGTGCTTAAAAGATGCCGTTTCAGTCCATGTAGAAACAGTAGAAAGTGTTTTACACTGGAAAGAGTAGAAATAAATTCCTTCACTTGAACTAGATTGGATTCTCTCTTATCTGGGCCTTTTGATTTGGATACAGTAGTGGGGACAGTGCGTTCTGTTCTCCGTCCTTTAAACACTTTAAAGTTTTAGTCAAAGAAAAGTGGCAGAAAGGGAGGTAAAGAAATGTGGTAAAGTGAAGGAAATTTAAAAGGACCTGAATTCCTTTAGTTACTGTGCTGTATTTGCACCTCATGCTGTCAACTCCCTCTGATCAATAAAGTCAAAAACTATCCTTTTAATTCCCAGAGACTAAATGTTGTTTCAAACATTTGTTCATCCTAAAGAGAACCAATGACGGATCTTGCCAACCAGTCATAGTCATAACTTGGTGCATTTGTGGGTTATGAATTCAAAGTATTTAAAATAATGTTTTTTTTAACAAGGTTTAATTCTACTGGTAATGCATTTTTTTACGTAGCCTTTAAGAATGATACAATCTTAAATATGCAAAATATTTGACTAATTTCTTCAACAGATATGATGCAATGTGTTTAGCGGAATTTTGCAAAATTGAAAACGAAGGAATACAGTTCCATCAAAATTTCCTTGGTACAGTAAAGGTTAATGGGATGCCTTTGGTTTCATAGTCGAAGAGGTTTGGATTTCAGGACCTAAAAAATAATCATACCACTCCATTTACGACTTGGGAATAGTTTTTCCTTAAACATATTCTTCTCTTATTGCTGCCATCATATTACCCTTACTAATCTGTCCTCCTGTATTCCTCAGGTATCTTGCGGTACAGGGTGGACTTCCAGGGCATGGAGTACCAAGGAGAGGACGATGAGTTCTTTGATTTGGATGACTACTAGGTAGTCGGGGACTGATACTGGGAGAAAAGAAGCAAAGGAATGAATGAAGAAATAAGGAAAGAAAAATGCCACCTCTCTTGCAGCAAGTGAGAGGTGCAACCGTGTTGACCATATATATGACAGACACACCTTCCAATTTACCTGTTGCATACACAAACTTGCACATACATTTCATCTGTATACAAGACAGAGTACATCACACCGGCTGAAGAGGAGTGAGATTTTCTTGCATCCAGAGAGGGAGAAAGCCCTTCCTGAATAAATCCCTGCCTTAGAGTGCTGGTTCCTTCCCCTAGTTGGATTGGACTCGACTCATTTTTGTTCTCTTTTTTTCTGCTCCCCTCCATTTTGAATGAACACATCAGCAAGTTCCCAGATTCCTCGCTGCCCCTAACCCGGTCTGAAGATAAACTTTGGACTTACTCCCCCCATATAGAAAATATATTTCCCGTTCTTGCGTCATCATAACCCTACCCTACATCTCTCTCTCCTCCCTACTATGCTTTCTCTCTCTTCTTTTTTTTTTTTTTTTTTTTTTTTGCATTTCATTTTTTTACTGGTAACTGCTGCTGTTGTATTTTATGAGAGTGGGGGATTTTTTTTACCTGGGTTTCTGTAGAGAAAGGGGGACAAAGTATTAAATTTGAACTGCTGAAAACCATTGCTACCTCCTCATCTGGTGTGGTCTCAATCCTGTGCTGTGTCTGTCTCATTCCTGGGAGGCCTGCGCTTATCTCTCCTTACCGGGATCAACTGAATATATTCAGATAGTCCTGTGTGAGAGTATGCACGGCTGCTCGAGGGAGAGTTGTTTATGGCATCCACAAACTCACGTTTAAGTAAGTTTAAAATGTATAAATTAAGGGTGTCAGAGCTGTACGATATGAGTAGGCATTTATTAGGCCCCCTGCATCTAAGAATGTTAAATAATCATTTTTGAAAATCTGAACCACAATGACAAGATTCCATCTATGACATCTGATTTTACTGTAAGTCAATAATAGGAATTTGTGAATTCAGTCCTGAAGATCCCTTTTTTTTACTTGTGATACCAAGAAGAATTGGTTTTCAAAGATAAAGGTGAGTGTTTACATAGCATTGTGTGCTGAAATTGTATAAATAAACCAGACAGAATTATTTAATTTGGTTCATGTTGATTCATCAGGACTAGCTAAAGAAAAAGACTGCTCCAAGTGCTTGTTGAATTCTCAGTTCTCCCAATTCAAATAATGACTTTCATGCCCTGTTGGTGCAAGTAATGAAGATGAAGTGGTTAAAGCAGAGATCATCTCACATAGGCTTAATGTCATTGGAAATATAATTATATACATGTGTGTGTTAGGGTGGGGTGACGGGTTATCCTGATTATTTAGTTCGTAGCCTACACACACTTCTCCCAAGGAGTATTAACCCAAAAAAAAGACAGAATTAATCAGAACCAAAATTAAGAAAAAGTGCTGAATGTTGGGAGTGCTACTTCAAAAGTTCAGGTTTCAAAGACAGGTTCTCTTTGGATACAAGGAAAGATCATAGCCAAAAAAAACAAGTTTAGATGTGTGGTCAATACGTCAACCAAGTTCATTGTGATTCAAGTTTAAGCCCATCTATTGAAGGCTTTTTAATTTTAACAGAGCAGAGCGTGCCTTTATGATTATTACTTATTGACCAAATAGCAGATCAAAAGTCTCACCTCTCCTGTTTTTTGGCTGTAAAACTAAATTGTACATATAACTCAGCTCTTTTATTTTGAAAATAATATATATATATTTATATTACCGTAAATTCACTTTAGTAATTGAAAACATTAGGACGGCCCTTTTCAAAATATGATGTACTGGTACTACTTGTTTAGCTGAATGACATCGTTTTTCACTTCAGCTTCAGTAACAATGTTACAAAGCCGCCACTGCTTTTCTGAACTTCGTTCATTTTTATCATAACATGAACGGGGGTGCTACAAGTGATGAGTCAATTCCAAAAAACTGATGTCCTCATTCGTTTGAAGTGATAGTGTTTAAGGTCATCTAACCTAACCTCGAGTAAACCACTGTCAGTCATAAAGTTTGTCTGTGGTCTCTGGCAAACATTAGCAGCACCATGACTTATTCTCTCCTGCATCTCAAAGCCACACAGCCTTGTGGGAGATCTAAGAGGTACTGCAAGCAGACAACTGTTAAATAGGAGCATTAGACTTGTGAAATGTGCTCTAATAGGTTACTAGGAGAGAAAAAAAATCATGTAAAAAATTAGATATCGTGTGAAAAAAGTCATAGGTATTATTGGTAGTTCACATTAGCCAGCCCTACTGATAGATCTTTAAATATAAGTAAGTATAAAGTCTTCCCAAAATAAAGAACATCTTCCTTTAAAAAGTGTTATCATTCAGTGCAGTCTGCAAGAAGTTCTTGTCTCTTGGTTGACTTTCAACACAAGCTAAAGGAAAAAAACTGCTCTCAGTGCTTCTTTTTTGAATGTTTCGAGTTCTCCCTGAGTATTAAATTAACCACACATTCTTCCTAACATTTCAACTCTGAGCCCTGGAAGATGTAAGACATTACAGAATATGCACTAAAATGATCTGTCAGCACATCTGCTGTGACCAGGTGAGCATAAACCAAGGTAAATGTGTGAAGGATGGTCATAAAGATGAAGGTGTGTGTGAGAGAGTCAGTTTTACTGAGGCTTATGGACGACATTGTTGAACAAAGTCTGACAGAGGGTCTTCTTACATCAATCCAGATTATCAAAAGAAAGTTTTTTTTTTTAAAAGATACCCAGGTAACTCTACAACCTGCCATTTGAAAGAACCCCGTAGTGTAACTATTACGTCATATTTATCTCTTCCTTTCATTTAACCTACATCCACCCATGCAGATTTATTGAATGTCCTGAAACAACCCGAGCATCTCTTCATCACCTTAGCTTCAGAGCAACGCTATAGAAATCTTTCAGCCTTGCATCACAACTTATGTTCATGTTTTCTGCAGCTCGATGTAACCAAACAAAAACATTAATCGCAAATTGTCTTTACAAAAAAAAAATACTCCACCTGCATCACATGGCAAAGCTATGCGGATGATTGATTTTGCCTTAGCTTATTCCTCTTCAGGATAGCAACAGCATCTTCATCCATTTGCCCTTTTGTTTGGGGGAGTCACCGGGAGGGCGCCTCCGGTAGCGCGTTAAGCCAATCAATAAATGGCTAAGACGTGAAACCCCCGCCCATTTGACAAAATACATCCAACCAGAACATTTGTTCTTTGCATGGGCGTTCCCATCCACCCCCCACCCACCCTTTTGACACTGCCCTACCGAAGCTGTGTGGTTGAGCGAAGTGAATGACGTCTCTGCATTTGCGGGCCGCCGACGCAGGGCTGGGTTTCCATTTTCAGAGCGAGTGTCGGGGGGGATCGTCAACATGGAGCCGGAGATGGAGGACAAAACGCTGGAACTGATGGTAAGATTTATCTCAGAAGGCAACTTGGCCGTACAGAGGTGATCCGTATCGTTCCTAAATTGAGCGAGGCGCCGAGCCTCGATTCGACGGCAGGAATGGGCTGAAGCGGCTTGTCGGGAGAGGGAGAGGAGAAAGGAGGGGAGGAGGAGGAGGGGGGGGGGGACCAGAAAGCAGAGGGAGGGCCTGAATTTAGCGATACATTCTGCTTAAAAATGTCCGCACATTGCTCACTTTGATTAACAATACTTCACACGTCAACATCAGACGAATGTTAAACGCACATGTTTTGGATTAATCCGGTCATCAGCGTGGACATTAATAGGTGGATGTTCAGTCGTTCGGCCGAAGACAGCCCAGGAGTCTCGGGGGTAGCGTTCACTGCGGTGACGCTGCGCCACTTTAAACAGGGCCCTGTCTGATACTTAGCCGTCCAGCTAACACTGGCTAGAAGGCGATGAACCACGTAAATTTATGGGTATGTTATATTTTCTTGTTCATGTGAAGACGACTGACATTGTAGTCGATGTGCCGAACAGTTACACCGATGCCACGATGTCGGGGAATGTAGTTAAAATCAGTCGTCTGCTGCCTGTCTGTTTATATTTTTAAAGTGCGTAGAAGGAAGTGTAGTGCCTTTTCATTCACACAGCGGCACCACGATTAGCGAGGTAGCAATTAGCCTATTAGCCAGCATGCTAAAAGAAAAATGCTACTTACATTTGACAGCCTTTACTTTGCAAAAGCAGTCGGTTGGCCGGCGCAGTAAGTATCTCATTTTGATAACATGAGATGTCAAGCTGTCGTTGTGATATTGTTTGTTGTTTTGTTTTTTCAACATCATAGGTTTAGATTTCCTAAACGAGTGTAAAATCGTTTTTTTCCCCGTGAAGTGATTAGCTGTCTTCGTGAGCTAAGCATCCATGCTAACGTTAGCTTACTTGTAGCTACCAATAATGTTTTAGAAAGGTCAAAGTAAGTCGCAGTGAAGACGCCAGATAAATTGGGATTACAGATGTGGTTGTTTCACCGGGGCATCGCACGGACTGTGAAGTTTGCTAGTTGTTTCGTAGTTGTTGATATGACCCATCCCTCAGGTTTCGCTCACAGACAGATCAGTTTCCATACTTTGTGTTGACAAAGCAAGTTAAGGCCTGGGTGTAATATTTAAGATTATTTGTTATTACATTACGTGGACCAAAGGTGCCTCACCCAAACCGGGACAAAAACACAACAAAGTGAGCACTTAATGTCATTGATTTCCAAAGGATGAGTATTTACAAACACCACTTATTACCACCATTGAAGTTAAACTATAGGCCAACAAAGACCGACTTTACTAAAAGACAGTGGATAAAGATTTGATAGAGACATTGCTCTTTTTGTTTTTGTTGGTAACTTATTTTTATTTTATTTTTATTTTTAAATATTTAACAACTCAATTTTAAAACACTAATTCTAAAAGTCCACTACAGAAATGCACTGTATTTGCATGATGTAAGAAATCAAGTAGGAAGGGAGATTATTAGTGTTGAACAGTGAACTTTGTATGTTGACCAAACCATTCATGAATATTTCTTTGCACTGAAGGAGACTTAAACATTTACATTTGCCTTAGGTTTGGAGACTGTATTCCTCAAGGCCTAAAAAAACAAAAAACTTCTTAGTTGTCTGTGTATTTAATTTGATTTATTTTTTTGTCCCAGTGTTACTCACTAACCACTCATGGGAGTGGGGATGGCAGAACAGTGGATGGGGTCTCTCGCATAAAAAAAGCGACAATTGACAATTTACCCATAGCCCCTCCCTCTCCTCTACCTATCCCCACCCAATTCATGTCTAATAATGCTTCTGTGTGTATGTTTATCAGTCTGTTTCTTGTGTGTGGAGGAGTGTGTGTTCCTGCGCTCACTGTGCCAATGTGTGTGTAGCTCTAATACTGGTTTTTCCCCTCACTATCCCCTACCTCCTCCCCTTTTTTTCCTCCCCTCACCTTTGATGGTTACACACATACCTTCTCTCAACTTCAAACTAAATCTCATTTATTTTTCTTTATTATTTATGAACTCTTACACTTTTTTCCGCACTCTGCCTGTCCTGTTTCTCACAAACTCTTTGCCACTTACATCCATCCGGACAATCATTGATCCATCCATCCAACAATCTCCTTTGGTTTCCCCCTCCCGACTACCTTCATCAACCCCCTTCTCTCTTTTCCTTTACTTCTCATCTTGGGTCTCTTGCTCCTCCCTTTCTCTACCTCCCTCACCCTGTCCACTTCTCCTCCCTTCCTCCCTTCCTCTCTCTCTTTCACACAGTGCTCTGTGCCTCGCTCTCTCTGGCTGGGCTGCTCCTCGGTGGCTGAGAGTTTGTGTGCACTCAGGTGCCTGCAGAGCATCCCCTCCACCCGGGCTCACAACCAGGTTCTGCCTCTCTCCTCTTAATTCTGCTGCTCCTCCTCCTCCTCTCCCTTCCCCACCCTTCCTCCCTCGCCATCTCCTCATCCTTCACTTTTCTTCCCCACTCCACATAACTCGTCATACCACCTTGGTGCGGACAGCATCCACTCACCCTCCTACCTCCTCACCTTCCGTTGCCCTTTCCTCCCTGTTGGAAGCACACTGCTCTCAGGTCCTTCTCTGGTGCGACCTCAAACTCTTGCTGCTTAAAACCGAATTGTAGCTTTATAAACTCTAATTGACTGAATTATAATCACTTAAAATCAGCTCACATATCTCAATCAGGCCCCAGAACTCCAAAGAATTCAAACAATCATTTTGTTAGATAATGTAAACTTGAGACATTAACGATAAAACTTGTTAGCGTATACAAATACTTGGTGTGTGAAGAGTAATAATCCAGGGGTACCAGAGAATAATACCACACTTATGAGTAATGTTTACTGTCCTTCTACCTGGAGGTGTGAGGGCCGAGGCGGGGGGCGGGTCTTCCTTCCAAGCTCTGAGAGGCTACATGCTTGCTTGCCTGCCTGCCTGGCCATCTTGGTCTGTCTGTTATTATTTTTCTCTCCTTCTATTCTTCTTTTATTTAATCTGCTTTGCATGACCATCAACTCCAACCATTGGTGCCATTCTGGCTTCTTGTCCTATCTGCTTTGGACTTGGTAGCTGACCCTTTGTCTGTCCTTTTTGTTTGTTTTTGTGGATGTGATCGCCCCACTGTCAGAGAAAATCTCTGGAACATTTTTGAGGGGTTACTGGTTTAATCTTAGAATATAATACCTAGGCAACATGGTACATCTATAATGATGATCAGCCCAAGTTCAGCCAGCCAATGGCAGTACTTCAGCTTCCGAAGAAATCAAACTTTTAAACGAGTAATATGTAAAGAAAGAATAGAGTCTATTCTAGTGTCTTATCGCCAACAAAGACAAATTGTGACTTTGGTTCTTTCAGGACCTAAACAGAAATGCTATACCATTGACCACTCACTCAGGCTTCTGAGGCCCATTTCTCCAAATATGTTTGCTAACATATCAGAGAACAGGAAATACACATTTCCAGGAAATGAATTTGAACTAAATAGGAAACCTGCAATTAACATGATTCTTTTTCCTTTGTTCGATATATAGTTATGTCATGAAAAGAGTGTTTGCTTTAAATGGTCTTCGTGGTTCAGGACATTGCAAATGTATTGATGATGTAGATGTAACAATATGGAAACCTTTTGATTTCTAGATGAACTCTTAACACCAATATATCAACATATCCTCAGGTTCTCATGTTGGTTGTGTATGTAAGGAAGGATGCTAGATTATGATATTACAGCATCAGGGAACCTGCTTTTGGTCATTATTTTCATTTATTGTAGTTGTTGTTTTAGAGGTAAGAGCAAAAATGGAAGTTCAGCCTCTCACTCTGTTACTGACAAGTAACTGTGCCTTTAACCTGTTGTAATAAAAATGTTTTAAGTCTCCCTAGCTTGTTTGTGATACACCTGTTAAGGACTCAAATCTTTAAGGACTTCATGGGCGGGATAAGGTTACCTCCCATTCTTTGATCTCCTTTCTATATGCTTTGAGACCAATATCTGATTTTAGTTTCATTAAAGTCATGCCTGAGCTGCTTCCAGTGACATACCCAAGATGCTCCAGTTTAATTTCCTGTCCAGACTACTCAGCCCCCATCACAGACATGCAAGCCAATAGAAACCTTAAGTTGCAGTGCTCGATTCTTTTTCGCTCCATATGTGTGTGCACGGGTGTTTGTGCGTGCACGCCTCAAAAGTCATAATAGTAACTTTTCCTTGGCTGTGTTTGTGGTACTCTTGTGTCCAGCGCTGTCCACACCGCTGCCCTGGCTCTCACACTGCCTTTCACACGCACACACGTGTACAGAACAAAGCACTAACCTGCACATTGTTTTTGCTTTGTCATTTATCCACAGAACACATCAGGTATGGAGTCACAGAATCTGGTGGATGATCTGTCGCCAAAGAAGAACACAGTTCTCAAGGTTTGTTTGTGTGACATATAATGTATAAATGAATAACCTGAATTGGAAGCTCTTCACAAACAAACATCCTACACAGGTTACATTAGGGCTGGGCGGTTATACCTCAAATCAATATTATGATTGAACATTTTACCTCGATTACGATTAATGAACGATTACTTTATTGTTTGCCCTCCTAGTTCACTGACAAGGTCTGTACTGTTAATGTGCTCAACTATTAGAGCTGGGATATTTTTTCTAATGAGTGCATAACTTTATGATTTTAAAGAAATTAAGGCAACACACAGATGAAATATGTATGGATATTTAATCAATATTTTAAACTGAAATCAAAGCATCAGTTGAATCGATAATGTCACATTTGAGCTTTTAAGTAAAAATCAACTTCTCTAAAATAGTGGTAATAAAATAACTTATCTCCTTATTGCAAACAAAATCCAATTTAAACATGTTTCACTAATGCTTCATTTTCTTTTGAACTATAAGAAAAAGCACAGACTCTGTTCTCGCACACCTTCAATGTCTGCTCCACACGTTGACCTTAATAAATTATATTATTGATGGTTTCGGTGCTTAAGAACAATATCAGCACAGAAAAGAAAGACACACAAGTCATTTTTAAGTCTTTTTATCTGGTCTTTTTTCTTGTATAAGCTTGGAAGATGTTGAACACACAAACGCACACATACTTTTCAGTTAGCGGATGCGTGTGTGTGTCTGCGTGCTGCAGCCGCACTGCACTGCTCTTAGAGGGTATATCTTCATATTTAGTAGCGAACACGGCGCTCTGTAACAGAGTTTGTCTTTACAGCATAACAGTCTACAGCAGGCTGTAACATCACAAACTTTAAGCTACAGATTGTTGACACTAAAACCGGATTCATGCTTCTTGCGGTTGGCGCAGCGTTTCATACTGATTGCTGTCACAGAGCTCAGTGCTCAACACGGCCCAAAGTAAAGTACTCCCGGGCCCTGTAGCCAATCATTGCTACGGGTTGGCGCGAACCCGTCCGCGTTGTTACAAAATCTTGGATGTGCGTGGCTGGACGCTCAGCGCCTCAATTCAATTTCTATTAATTGCCCTGCTTTAGGTTTCATGTACAGGTACCAGTTACAGCTTTTACTGGCTTTAAGTCATTAATATAACAAGCTTGTAATAAAAATACAATCTGAAGTTTATTTTGGATTCACTTCAAACTTTGAAGTCAGCTACTTTAATGACATTCTGTTTGAGGTTAAAGTCTTTGACTGATTCTAACATTCATTTTTATTTAAAAAAAATGTTTATTCCCACTTATACAACAGCAACCCTGCAGACTTGTTTGTTGTTCACAGAGCTTTCACCCTCAGCAATGGAAACTGACCTTTAATTGAGTTCATTCTGAAACAATATGAGGCTACTGCACATGTTGTTAAAAGGACACACTGTGACTAAAGGTTCCTAAAGTTTTCTGTTCATATAGACATATCTCTTAGAAGAATTTATACAGCAACTAAAAGTTTCTTTTGAAGTTCCTAACAACAGCCATGTTTTGTATATCATTATTTCATGTTACTAACAATGTAAAACAAATAAACTCAAATGTAACCAATCTCCTGATCTTTACAGCTTAGTAATGGTCCTGTTGTGGGGCCCCGCAAGCGTCCATCAGAAGGGAACTACGAGAAGGAGAAGGAACACTGCATCGCTCTGTTTGACCAGTGGTCGGAGGCTGACCAGGTGGAGTTTGTCGAACGCCTGATCTCCCGTATGTGCCACTACCAGCACGGCCACATCAACTCCTACCTCAAACCCATGCTGCAGAGGGACTTCATCACTGCGCTGCCAGGTACAAAAACAGTCTGATTGTTAAGTTAGGCACACCAAGAAAATATGTATTTAATATCATTTTGACAAATGCCTTCCTTTACAGGAGTTGTTTTCTGCTGTGTCAGGATGACTTTTGTGATTGAGAGAAGAAAACACATTAACAGCAACAAGATCTAACTACATACAGTTTACTATAGAAGCGGTGTTATTAGAATTACATTATTTTGCGCTTATCTGATTATTTTCAAAAAGCATTTTAAAATATTAAATAAATAAAAAAAAAAGCACAGATTACTGTTTGAACACAAACTAGCGTAATGACCCCCAGGCACAGATAAACTGAGCAGATGATATTCTATTAATTTTGAAGTGTGTGCTCACTCTGCCTCTTCTCTCCCACTCTTTAGCACAAGGCTTGGATCACATAGCAGAGAACATCTTGTCTTTCCTGGATGCACGCTCGCTATGCTCAGCAGAGCTGGTGTGTAAGGAGTGGCAGAGGGTCATCTCTGAGGGGATGCTGTGGAAGAAGCTCATTGAACGCATGGTCCGCACCGACCCGCTCTGGAAAGGCCTGTCTGAGAGACACCAGTGGTGAGAAAAGACAATGATCCACTTACACACACATACAGGCTTAGCAATCCATCTTTGGCTTTTGGGGAAGATATTAATACGGTACAATACAATACAGTATGAAATCACACTTAGAGAGGAATTGGGTAAACGTTTTGTTTTGATGTTGCTTGTAAGTTTTCAGTGGTTTGGATTTAGGTAGGGAAGGGGGGAGTAAGGTCATACCTGGCAGATCCTGAGTGTTTATTTTGAGTTACAAATGGGGGGTGGGTTGAACTTAAGTCGATACAAAGCAGATGATATTCTTATATCTTTGCCCCAGGGAGAAATATCTGTTCAAGAACCGCACGACAGAGGTCCCACCCAACTCCTACTATCACTCCCTTTATCCCAAGATCATCCAAGACATAGAGGTAAGACACATAGAGATCATTTCAGTTTAAGATGATTTTTGTTGTTGTTGATTTTATTCCTTTTTCAGTTTTTATTTATGTACTTGATATTGTTATTTCTTTTTTTCTTTAAAAAGTTTCATACAGAATAGGCCACAATATCCATCCTACACATGACTGATTCATTGTGAGGATAGGCAGTGTGATTAATTGTACATGCAGTAAACGCTGACGACAGCTAAATTCTTAAGTTCAATTAATGTAAGTGGTGTTACCACCTAGATCTCGTGTCTGTATCAATCCCCTCTAATAACTTAACCCACCAGGATATTAGCCTCTATCATCTCTCTGGTCATCTATACTTGTTTGCTTCTTTGATCCACTTCTGTGTTTGATCTTCTCATTGTTTGTCCCCTACCTCCAGACTATTGAGGCTAATTGGCGGTGCGGCAGACACAACTTGCAGAGGATTCAGTGTCGCTCTGAAAACAGTAAAGGGGTTTACTGTCTGCAGTACGACGATGACAAGATCATCAGTGGCCTTAGGGATAATTCCATCAAGGTACATTCACAAAAACAGATCTGTGAAATTAAAACATGTGTCTCTTAGTTATCTTTGCCACTGACCACATACACTTGTTGGCAGCTTTCTTGACTTTCTGTTCAAAACTGCCTTGACATCTGTAAAGGTGTTTGTAGTATGTGGCTTACAAATGTATAAAAGGCCTATTTTTAGTTTGATTTCCTTTTGGTGTCAAATCATTTCTGTCATCAACGTTAGTAGAAAAGGCAATTAAATGACCAATCCTTAAAGCAAAGTCACATTCCCAGGAACAAAAGCAGGAAGATGTGAATCTCTTAAATTGAAATCCAAGCTTTTGACAAAATGAATTTGGACTTCTCTTTTATGTATTGATCCTTCTTACAAAAACCAACACATTCTCCCAACATTACAACACTTTTACTGGATATTTCTGTATTTTTTTAGTATGATGAGTGTGATTCATAGCTGTGAATACAGGAATGTTAAACAATACATTAGACTTCAGCTTGGATACAAATTTAAACTTTATAACTTTCTTGTTTTATTAGTGTAGTGGAAAGCTTCATTGTGCATGTATGAGCCAGCCTACAGGCCTAACATGATCTTTAGAGCTAATTAACATCCAACCTATTTGCACCAGGAGGGAAGAGAGCCAGAGGTGATGGCTGTGAGCAGCACTGCTTGCTTTGTGTGTGGTTGTTTCTTTTCATCCTGGGTTTGTGTTTTATGAATTAAATCTCTTCTTGCTGCTCAGTTCAGCTTATCGTCTTATTGTCTATGGCGCTGAGCTAAACCAGCAGACATAGAGACAGAGCGAATGAAGTGAATTACACGATATTAGAGCTCAGCTCCAGTCTCAATGCATTTTTTACACTTGTCTGTCTGGCCTGATAGAAGAGGACAGGAGGATGGAGAAAACTAGGAAAAAAAGTGGATTTGTCTTCTCATTTTTGAAGAGGCTGACGCACACTCAGAAAGAAGCTGAATGTCTCTCTCTCTCTCTCTCTCTCACACACACACACAGGGCTGAGCACAACAGTGGGGAAAATGGGGCATGAACAGTGCTACAAGAATAGGCCATTCTTAGCGTGACCCAAATCTGCAACCTTTTCGTAACCCTTTTTCCCCTCCTCTTCTGTGTGTCGTCCTGTGTCAATGTCTTCCTCTTCTTCACTTTTTCCCCACTGTCCTCTCTCCTCATAGATCTGGGATAAGCAGTCTCTGGAGTGTCTGAAGATACTGACCGGTCACACAGGATCAGTGTTGTGTCTGCAGTATGACGAGAGGGTCATCGTAACTGGGTCATCTGACTCAACCGTCAGGTATGATGCACATCTTGTTTGGATGCAACACATTGAATAGAGATGTAGAAACCTTCACATTCAAAAGAGATACGATACGATATTATTGCAATTTTGAACCTATTGTTATATGCTGAGAATTGCGATACAATATATTGCAATTTCACTTTTTTAACTGCATTTTGTGTCCACAAAATTAAACAAAATAGAGAACTGTTTTGTTAAATAAGAAAAAATTCTCAGTCTATTTAACTGAACTGAATGAAAACAAACATGTATGGACGACTGTACAACTGCAGTCATTTTAAACAATGCAACCTGTTCAAACTGAATTGTGCAACCCTTTCAGCAATTCAAAATTAAAAAGCGTATTTGCTATTAATAAAATAAAAATATAAATTCTTGGCGGCCATGAGGCAATATATATCGTATCTCATAATATTGCGATACTATGCTGTATCGACCCTGAAGGGGAAGAACCTAATAGTTCGTGTGAGTTTATTATAATTCTTATTTTCTGTCTTATGCCATGGCTCAAATTCCTGTGAGATGGACGGAGGTAGAAACATGAAACTTGGTAGATGATTTGTAAATGATGTGCATTACCTTCCCAAGAAATATGAACCCAGTCAACCAGATGGTGGCGATGGAATTAAGGAAACAATACTCAATTTTTGGAAGGCCACGCCCATGACACTGTCCATCAGAGTCAAGTCCAGCTCATTGTGCTCTACAAAAAAGCCTCTAGGACCATCGAAGTCCACCATGATGGATTCTCCGCCATTTTGAATAGTTTGAAAATCACATTTTTGACCTCCTAAACCTTAGGTCCAGCTGGTACAACATTTGCTGTGAATGCTCAATGGACAAAGCTTATCAAATATTTTATGACGGTTGTTGATATCTTATTTCGTTTGACGATAACTACCAATAAACTTGGACAGGGGCGGAGCTTTCCAGAGAAATTGCCATTACTCATTCACTCATTTGATGGCAAACGCTGCGACAGTGTAGCATCCACTTACAGTCTGAAAAAGTCAAGTGGTTCATTTTGATTTTCATGATTTGGAGAATCAGAAAAGCTCATTGATGATGTCTGTGTGTGGTTGGGTCTGATTGTGGTGTATTCCCCTGTTACGATGGCCGTTGCTGTCACTCTTTTCCATCTATGACTAGGCGCTTTGCATTGTGGGAACCAGTACGCAGGGACACCGGTCTGATGCATACTGTAGATTTTTCTGGAATCAGTAAGACATCCGGGTATTTTTGGAATACCGCAGATCTCACATTTGTGCACATGCTGCATTTTGTCGTAGTACGTACTACTCGTATAGAAGGCGGTTTCGAAAAAACAGACAGAAGGAAGAGGAGTCGACTCAAAAACCTCCAAATGAATGCTGGTTATGTATTTGTGCATACCAGTTAGCCCGTCTTGTTGAATTAATTACATTTATTTGAGGCAGAGATTTGTTTTGATTAGAATTATTAGGTATGTGTTGAGTTAAATGCTGCTGACAGTTTAATATTCATTCATTTAAGGGACGGTTAAACGCTGCAGGCTTTATGATGACAAAACTAGTGTGTGATTGGTCTTCCTCTGTTTTTCAAACTGAATTAAACTGGGCGTAAAGTGACATTTGACAACTTGTTGAGGCTTGACGCGTGCTCGTTGTCGTATGCGGCATAAAAAGGGTTGGATGTGTAGGTAGAAGATGCGGTCCTTTCCCCCCTTCATGAAAGTGACCAGTTTATTTAGTCTAAAGGAATACTATGAATAGATAATCCACAAACCAAATATTTAAAACCACATAGTGTGTACTGTTTGTCTGAGGTTACCCGTCTTCTAATATGTCGAAAAAATGTCTTCTCTTCTGTCTCCTATCATTTCAAAAGCTGCACTCAACCTCATACAGAATATCTCATTCAAAACACATCTCAGCCATCGCACATGTGAAGTTGATTAGAAGAAGGTTTGATCTCATAGCAGCTTTATTTGTAAAGGTCATCCATCGAGCCGGTAAAGTGGGTTCTATTACAAACATCTAAAGACCTGGTGTTTGTGTGCGTATGCTGACACTTGCTTGGCTACTACACACAGAAGCTCAACATTAATTCTTTCATTACTTCACACTTCGGCCGTACTCGCTGAGCGGTATCCAAGGAAAATGTGACTTCACTTCCTTAGCAACAGCTTGACAGGCTCTGTGTTTGTAGGTCTGGTTGTCAGCTTTTCCAGTGTGTTCTGCATTTGACTCTTAATGCCCAGCGGTGCTGCACAGTAACATGTTTTACACAGCAGCTCCTGTGTGTGTGTGTGTGTGTGTGTGTCCATTGTAAAACTAATAAACATAATTTTCTCTCATGTCTCCATTGTTTTCCCTTTTCCTACCCTCCCATTACACATCTTTTCCACTCTCTCTCTTCTCCAAATCATTTTCTTTGGTTTTGACCATTGCCCCATCTCATTTTTCTTTCCTACACACCCCTTCCTCCTATCGTTTCCCACTTTTCTTATCCCTTTGTTCTTTCTTAAATCTTTCTTCCACATCCCCATTTTTCCTTTTTGCCCCCTTTTTCTTTCCTCTCTCTCTCACATTTGCCTTCACTTTTTTTTGCCATTCTGTCATCTCTCCCTGCTTCTGTTTTCTTTTCCCCCTGCCACCCCCCTCCCCCCCTCTCTGTCTCTCTCCTCTCTGCAGGGTGTGGGAGGTGACAACAGGTGAGGTACTGAACACACTGATCCATCACAATGAGGCAGTTCTTCACCTGCGCTTCGCAAATGGCCTCATGGTCACCTGCTCCAAGGACCGTTCGATTGCAGTGTGGGACATGGCCTCTCCCACTGACATCAGCCTACGCCGTGTCCTCGTGGGACACCGGGCCGCCGTCAACGTGGTGGACTTTGACGATAAATACATCGTGTCCGCTTCAGGGGACCGCACCATCAAGGTAATGAGCAGCCACTCATAAAGTTTGAAGAAAAGCTGGCCTTGGAGTACGTGTGACAGATGATGTGACAAATTGAATAAAGAAATGTTGATGTTTGAAAGTTGTATCAGGGTTTGAAGTATGTTAACTATGATACATCAAATATCACTAGAAATACATTCAGTGAAGAAATGTTATTTAATTCTAAAAGTGTGAATTTATTTAGTAAGCTACAGTCATCTGAATAAATACATGCGTTTTTTTTTTTTCTGCACTTCAGGTATGGAGCACCAGCACCTGTGAGTTTGTCCGCACTCTAAATGGTCATAAGCGTGGTATTGCCTGTCTACAGTACAGAGATCGTCTTGTGGTCAGCGGCTCCTCTGACAACACAATCAGGTACGTGAGAGATTTAAGATGCATATCGTGTTCTACATAATGTAATAATTGAATACAAATCCACTTCACATGAACCAGTTTGATTGGAAACTTTCTTCAATTTGACAAGAAAAAGTGACTTGTAATAAAAATGTTTTCGAAAAGGCTGAGGCCAAAACACTTGAGAATAGAGTGTACTTTTAATATCATATTTTATGATCCTGATGCTTTTCTTGCACATTTTACCAGACCCTAGCACTTAAAACTAAAAATTATGGACTGCATGTTGTTGCCATGTGTGTTAATGAAGGCCTTTTTCTCCAGGTTATGGGACATCGAGTGTGGAGCATGTTTGCGAGTGCTTGAAGGTCACGAGGAGCTGGTGCGCTGCATTCGCTTCGACAACAAACGGATTGTCAGCGGCGCCTACGACGGGTCAGTCTCACACACACACACACACACACACACACTTGGAACTTAGAGTCACATTTTGTTCCTGACTTTGTGTTGTCTCATGTTTCTCTGCAGTAAGATAAAGGTGTGGGACCTGCAGGCAGCCCTGGACCCACGAGCCCCCGCCAGCACATTATGTCTGCGCACTCTAGTGGTAAGTATCACTGAATCAAACCTGTTTGTCATAGGGCTGCTGACTGGAGCTTATGCACAAGTTTCAGAGGCAACAGATCTCAACTGTTTATATTTGAATCTAGATCTTAACTAACATTATATTGCTGCTGGTTTTGAGAATCATTTGAAAAGCTGATAAAGGGACTCTGAATTTGCTTATTTTGAGTTCACCTGGCAGAAGCTTTCTAATATGACAGCTGGATGTAATGTTCTGTTTTTGTTGAAACTTTGATAAGAAGTATGGATTAAAAAGTATCCTTTGTAAATCTGTTTCTGAACTGTTTTGCATTTCATGAAAAGATGGTTCTAACATTTATTTATTATTAGTTTTTGGACAAAATATTTAGAAAAATTCTTAGATCACCTCTACATCAACTGTCATTGTGAGGAGAGGTGGACACACATCAAAGTTTCAAAATGTTGATTCTTTGTAACTGTGGGAGAAGTCCAGAAGGAGTTTCTCAGTGAGAACTTGATATGGAGAAGTGATATCAGAAGCTCACCACCAATCTTACATACAAGCGTTAACCCTCGTCTTCGGCCTGATCTCAGTTTAAATCATACGTCTTCATGGTGTTAATGTTTTTACAGCATGTTGGCATCATTTCTTTGTCCATTGTGTTTTCAGGAGCACTCTGGCCGCGTGTTCCGCCTTCAGTTCGATGAGTTTCAGATCATCAGCAGTTCTCACGACGACACCATTCTGATCTGGGACTTCCTGAACGTCTCGACCAACGGCCAGTCAGAGGGACGGTCTCCCTCTCGCACCTACACTTATATTTCTAGATAGCAGGTACAAAGACTCAACCACACTTGCATCCACATTCAGACTGATAAGACACATGATCTTATTTGCATGTTGTGTAAATGCAATAGTATCTGACTGCAGACTCTTTTTTTTCCTTCTTTTTTTTTTGCACCAGGTGGCGCCATCAACAGAACCATTTCTTGGAGGAGTCCAGGGCTGATTGACCGATGGGTGTCCATCATGGAAAGGAGCCCATCTCTTCTCCTTCCTCTTCGTCATCTCTCTGTCCACCTCTAACCCTGCCCCCGCCACCTCCTTGCTCGTTCTGACAGACTCATGAGCTTGTGCCCATTACCTGCCAGCACCGTGACACGCACTCACACACACATACACAGTAAAGAAGATCCCTCTCAACAGAACCAACACAACTCTCCCAAGAAGTTCTCCCTCTACTACTGATTTATATTTTGTAAAGTACACTAATGACAGTATTAACTTAGACATATTGTAAGTCCACTATCTCCCCTTTTTCTCCTCGTTACAAACTTAAGCAGCCTCTGCTCCTCAGTTTTTAACCCGCCAATCAGGTTTCCACAGATATGGAATGGCTTATTGATATATATTTATAGATATAAAACACACATACATACATACACACGGTGGCACAGTTGGACAGAAGGTGACCAGAGCTGTGATGCGGGAGACAGAGACTCTTAACTCAGCTCTAGGAAAGGAGGGAAGGACCGGAGATGGAGGTAGTGATGGAGGGAGAAACGTGTTGGGGACGACCTCCCTGCTCCCTCTCACTCCCTCTCACTCCCCCCCAGGTCTCTCTCTCTCTTCAAATCCCCTTTACCCTGCTGCCCTCCCTTCCAAACCCCAGAGATGCACACCCGCTTGGAATAGGGGGGCACACACACTCAAGTTTGCATGAGTGTGTGTTTGTGTATGTGGACTTTTGAAACGGCAGAACAGAGCAGAAGCGTCAAAAAGACAGACATGCATGTGAGGTTGCCTTGGATACAGCATTCCGGTACACCTCTGCTTTTTTTTCTCTTTAACTCTTACTTTCTTACTGTTTTTTATTACTGTTTTTTTCTCTTTTTATTTGAGTATTTTGGTTCTTAGTACAAAAATCATACTAAGCGTAGTCCTTTCTCTCTCTCTCTCTCTCTCTCTCTTACTGTCTTTTTCTTCTTTCTTTCTTCTAACTTGGACCCTTGTTCATCATCTGTCCCTTTCGCTCCATCTTTCTCTCCCCTGTCATCTACGTGCTTGCTTTGGTTATGAGAGAAGCTGGAACTCAAGAGCTCAAATTTAGCTGTAAACAGAGTTGTCTTGTCAAAAATTGTGTTGTATATTAAAAATGATTTTTTAAAGAAGAAAAATGAACTTATTGTGAATAAAGTACTTGACAGTGGTGGAGTGTTGAGCCAACTGTAAATGAATGAGTGTCTGTCTGTCTGTTCTTGTCTGTGTGTATGTGTGGCTGGATTTGTGCTATGCCATTCGTCTCTATCTGACGAGAAGATATAACACTCAGCGGGCCTTCAGTATCTACCTTTTGTTCTTAAAACAGCAAGAGGCAGGATATTTAGGATATATCTATTTATAATTTATGTTATATTCTTGATTGTTTTCAAGAAATCCCTTCAAAATCATAACTCACTCCAGCATCTGAAACAAACGAGGAAGAGATGATAAAAAGCTTATTAGAAAGAAATGGTAAGGTGGGCATTCAATATTTTGGTTCTAGAACTGTTTTTAAGGTTATGGAATAAAAACCTATGACTCATTGAGGTCTAACAATGTTTACATGAGCACTTATAAAATTGTTTTAGGGCTCTGATGTTTACATGAAACTCAAAAACCTGCTTATTCTTCATTCTTTTTTATGTGATTCTAACGGTATCCTTGTTGAGTGACTTTATTTCGCACCATCTACCTGGAAGACATGTTCCACAGCAGCACATAACGAAGACACTCTAAAAGCACTTTGTTTCAAACAAGTGACTAGTGTGCATGTAAGCATGCGTTCTGAATAAACTGGGAGAAAGATTAAAATGATCTGATTAGATGTGATGTCATAAAGGTGTATGATAACTCTGCGTTGGTAAAGACGCTGAAACGACTCCCCTTTTCTAAACCAATGCTCTGATTCTAAAGCTGAAGAGATGATCAATTAAAATGATGGTTGTAAAAAATATGGACAGTGACACTATGTCTTTATGCCGCTGTAGTCTTAAGTCACTCATGCTCACAGTATCTCACAAAAGTTCTATCTCATTTACATTTTACTACTAATAAGAAATGTCTTATTATATTAGACCTATTTTATGGAAACTTTAAAAGGAGGACAAATGAATGAACAAATGCCAACTTAAAAATTGAAAAAGTTCAATTATAGATTAGATTCAATCCACTAAATTGTAATATTAAATTTTTACTCTTAACCACATTCTATATGAATATAAAACAAAATGGATTTAATATATGATAAAAATGAACTGTCAACAGATTGATTCCACACTTTCTGTGTGACCACCAAATGTTCAAGCACTTGCATGATTGTTGATTTAGACTCGAGGCCATTACGCTACAAACAAATGTGGGCTGCAAATGCAAATGTTGAGCTGCAGCAAGTCCCTACTAATCACTGATGTGATGAAAATATCAGTGTAGTGAAGATGGCCACCAGGTGGGAGTATAACCCCAGTTACCTCCCACAGTCTTACGTGTTTATAAGACTCTGGCTGGGATTGTTTGGTAGCCAAGTTTGTAGTCTAAATAACCTGTTAGAGAAGATCACATACTCACTCTTGTAAACACTGTAACTGTGAAGTATGAATGTATGTTTGAGATGCTAAAAGTGGAGCCTCAGCAAAGCTCTGGCTGGTGCAGATGATCTCTATAATACCTCTGTCTGGTTATTGTACAGTTTGTATTCTCTCGGCTGGGTAGAAGGAGGGGAGTTGGTTTTCTCGATTTCTGGGTTTAGTTCAGTGTAGTAGAATGTTTCAAATTCTGGGAATAAGTTATGTGGGATGGTTTTGTGCTTGGTGGAGCACCATTAGTATATGATGTGTGTATGTGTTGGATATGGGTGTGTGTGCTTCCTCTGGGTCTGTGGGATTTTGGCCCATAATTCCTGCAGCTCTCAGGTCACAGCTCCGTTCTCACGCACATATTTGGCATTCCTTCCCCGACATGATTACCATACACCTTCCACTCTGGGTTTGGCTACGCAGAATATTTCCATCATTCCCGAGTGGAGCTGAAGCAACGTTCCAGAAATGAACAACTCACCCCACCACCCCCTACTCGCTCTTCTTTATCCCACCCCCCAACCCTGTTACCCTTCCACCCCACTGTCTGCTTATACAGACCCCCCCCCCCCTCCCCCCACCACCCCTCCAGCACAGATTCCTGCTGTCTTGCAATAGGAATCCTTTGGTACAACCCTTTTTTCCCCCTGAGTCAGCTGTTTCTGTCTGCCGGCATGATTGGGTCATTTGGCAGCGACATCTCTTCAGTGACCTCCTGCTTGGATGGGGAAGGAAGGGGAGGGCTGGGGGGACAGGAGCAGGAGAGATGAGAAGCAGTAATGACACTATCTGACTACTGCAAGTTTCCCTTCTACTGTTCTGTATGACCCTTCATGTTACAAATGTAACTTTATTATGTGGAGGACACTGACACATTTGTAGAGTTGGGTTGACGACTTATCGAGGCAATTTCCCATGGGTTCCTAAGGGACAGTTGATCCTTGTCAGATTCATATTTTATGAAGTGTTTCAGTGTTCGATATTTCAGTTTCTGTCTCTACTTTAACAGATAGCGACAAGGACTTGAATGACTGCAGAGTCCATTCTTCTACAGCCATCAAGTCCCGACACCTCCTCCATATTACATATATGCTGGTTGGATTTGAAATGGTTGCAGGGGTTTGCTAAACATTTTTTCGTAAAAGTTTGTAAAACTAATTCTTGTGGCTAACTTCCCACATTCAAATTTTTGTAGTATCTCTCATAGCTTGTAGGAGGAACAGAGTGACGTGCCATTAGTTGCATGAGTCTGCTTATGACCCTTGATAATGGTCGGAGAACATTTTTAAAATCTGTTGCGTTGTTTCCTGATCATTTTGAAGCGAGCTGGCACAGCATCAGAAAAAGTTTCATTGGCGAATAATTTGTGTGTCATCCTTTGACTGAACACTTATCTTTTGTCGATCAAATTCCAGAAAACCTGTGTGTGAAATGCCTGAAATCCATCATGTTAAAGTAATGGCATATGACAAAATTTATATATATTGTTATCATTTAGCCATTTTTTAATTAATAGGAAATTGTTAATGGTTAAAATAACTAGGAGACGTAAATGTTGGTAAACAAAGTTAAATACAAACCTAAAAATTGGTGAAAAAATGCTGCAAAACTGGCATCATCATGAATAAGTCTGCACAAAAATGATTGGAATATTTTTCTCTGAAACAACCAGATAACTTAAAAAAAAAAATGAAAATATGTGATGAGCTACATCAAAATAAACACAAGATACTTGTGCCCAAATGAAACAATATAGGTTGTATCATGGATTACATGTTTACATGATGTCCAATTCTACTCCCTTAAACATTTCCCAAAGCTGAAGGAAATGTCTTCTTATTGATTGTTTTTTTTTTTTTTTCCAAGATGCTCCATTTGAAACATATAAAAAAATGAGAAAACCTTCATAGGTTCATAATACAGAAGTCAGAACAAGTGTTTGCTTCTTTGAATGATAAATAACTAACACGATATTAAAAACTTGTTGCCAAGAAATCATTTGTCAATCAAATAATTGGGCACCTTTACCAGCCAGCCAGATTGTGAGCCTTAGTCAACATGAATCTCTGTCTGCAGTTTATTCTTTGACACAAAAAAAGAAGTTCAAAGAGGCTAGGACACGGGAAATGTTTCTGTAAGATTTACTGAGTCAAGAAAGACTGCTGCACACAGAGCTGAAATAAATAAATGAAATAATTTTATCATAATAATTATAGTAACCATCATAATAAGATTGCTTATTTAGGGTTTCTGTCTTCTTTTATATATATAATATATATAACTTTCAATAAATTGTTCCCTTTAATATTTGTCTCCTGTGTGTATGCATGAGTCTTTGGTTTGTTCCACTGAATGTCCTGGTAGCAGCATTCTGTATCCATGGTATCGCACAGGAGCATCATCCCCTGGGTCGTTTCTATAGCAATGCTAATCGACAAGGCACCCTCCCCGCCGTGCTCGCCCCTGTGCTTGTCACCCTCTGCACCTATAAGCTGAAGGTGAAGTGTCCTCCGGGGGCTTGGGCGAGGGCAGGAGTCATGAAGAAGGTCTCCAGTTGTCTTTGGTCATTGTTGGTTTGGTTTGCTGTGACTGGATGGCTGTTTTTGGTGCAGCTTGGTTTTTATACATTCGAGTTCTTTAACCTTCAGTCCCTGCGGTGAGTTGTCACGGGTTCATGCAGGGACTGGATGGTCCCTTTCCAGAGTCCCTCATGATCCAGCTTCACTCATGGTTGTTGGTGCACTCACTCACACACACACACGCAAACACACACTCTAACATGCATTCCCTCTCCTTCTTCTTCTTCTTCCAAACATACATTTATTCAGTAAGCCCCTAATTCGACCGTTCCCTCATTCATCCTTTTATCATTCGTCTAACAGTCTCACAGGTTCCCACTGATTTAGCAGTGAAACAAATAAGTGCGTCACATGTCAACAATCCATTATTGGTCCGTTTGATTTGTGCAGAGTGCTCTATCCCTTTGTCCCCTCTGCTGTTTTTCTGTCTTCTCCCTCCTGTTTTCCCTTTGTCCATAAGCTAAACATCCACTGTCTTGTCCAGTCAGTCTCTCTCACCCTTGTTCTCTCTGCATGGTCCAGTTGTAATCCCACACTTAACATTGTCCAGTTGGTCCAGGAACAGGAGACATGAAGGCCTTGCTGTTCTTGTGGTTGTTGAGTAAAGGCCTTTGTGGGGACTAGGACTCTGGCTGCCCTTCATGTTTCCTGATAGTGTTTCTGGCCTATAAAACATTCCAAATCCACAGAGCTTCCAGTGATGGACCAGGAAAAGTCCAGTCTGTCCAGGAAGGAAAATAAAACTGAGAGAAAGGATCAATAAGTTTGGGGCTGTAGTGGCAATTAAGTAGGTGTGAAACTAAACCCCATGAATGATTCATCAAGTTTCTTGTCAATGTTAGTCCCAACAAAGGCATGACATGACAAGCAGACTCAGGTTGAGGCTTTGAATGACAGGACAGTGGGTGCCAGCATTAGCAACTGCTAGCGAGGCCCTGTAGCGCGCACCCTCTTGCCCCGCTTGCTGATGGTGGTGAAGCGAAAGGGGGTAGTGAGGTCAGGCTGCTCCCCAGGCGGGAAGCGCTTCATGAAGTGTACGTCCTGCTGGTTGGGGAGGGTGTGTGGGCCGCGGCGAGGGCGGCCTCTTTTAGTGAAGCCAACATACCAGCCTGTGTAGCGCGCTGACATCAGAGCTGTGTAGTGGTTTTCCAGAACCTTTTCCACAAAGACACAGTCGGCACTTCGATTGCTGGCCTTCTGAGAGAGCAGAGAAACCACAGGTATCCCACACACACACACACACACACACACAAACACACACACACACACACATTTTGGAGAAAAACAAAGAGAGGCTGGTCAGGAAACTGCAAGATTTTTTTTGATAAACATGTCGCTAATAGAAAGAAGTCTCACCTTTCCTACGAGCTTGCCACGGCGGTTCATGCACAGGTAGAAGTTTGTTTCTTTGCCCCGGATTCTCACCTGGCTACCGAAGGTATCAGCCTCCACTACGAGCTGGGCTTGTGAAGGGACAGACAGAGGGACAGACAGACATTAGAGCCACAGGCAGTTCAGAGAGAAACAGATTGTTGCACTAATTGTTGTATTGTTGGTTAACAGGGTTTATTAGGTTGTATCACAGGTAGAAAGGTAAAGATAAAAGAAAATTGGGGCTAACTTATCTTCATGTTGTATCCAATAGGACACAACATTCAAGCTAAAACAGAGAACACTCCCAGGTATGAATAGCAATTGTTCAGATTACCAGCTACCTCTAAATCAGATTTAGCATTAAACAAGATAAGGTATTCACATGTTATCACAGTTTAAGGATTCATAGTTGCTATTAAACCTTCTGATAAATCCCAGTCAAATGTAAATGTCTCCTGCTGGACAGATGGCTGTCAGATAAGGCCGGTCACACACAAGGATGTGAGCCGGCTGACAACAAATGGGCCTCGTAAAAAAGATAACAGGCAGGAGTAGACAGAGCACGGTGGGCTCAGAGGAGTGGGAGAACACTCAGACTGAGTGTCTGTGATGCTGTTGTTTTAGGTGCGAGCATGTGCGCGTGTGTACAGGTACATGTGTGTACATCCTTCGAGGTAAATCCGCTTCACCATCTACACATCTTCAGAGAGCGCTTGTGCCTGTTTAAAAATAAATCCTTAAAATGGTTCCTACATGACCTTAGTCAACAAAGGGGTCAAGAGAAATCAATACCTCCCTCCCTCTTGCCCTCTTCCTCTCTCTACCCCCGACTCTCCTCTCGTCTCCCGTCTGCTCTTTCGCTTCATGTTTATACCTTCATGCACCCGCCCCTTCTTCTTCTGCGCTTTATTTCTTCTCTTTCTGCTGGTTCCTGTTTCCTCCTTTTATTACTTCATCGACCAAAGTAGCTCAGGAGTGGCATTTCTTAATACAGAGACTGGCTTTTGCCTCTCTGTCCCATCTTTGGACAGAGAGCATCTTAGCAACTTGACATGTTTGTGAATGGAAGGAAAGTGCATTATGAACCACCACTGAAACACTAAGAAATCTGAACTCCGGCTTTATGGCTTGGCTTCTTCTGCCCATTGATTCTGTTTGTGGTTTAAGAATGGGTTAGCCATTATTTCAAATGGAGCAAGGTGGAGAGGAAGAGGCAGTGGGGGATGGACAGAAAGAGTGTTAAAGCATGGAGGGAGGGAGGGAGGAGGGAGGGAGGGAGAGGAAGCCTGCTGTTTTAAATCCAGAGGAGACAACAGGGAGGATGAGAAATCAATGAAGGGATCGATGAAGGAGATGAGTTTCTAACCCTCGCTCCGACACTACCTGCCAGGCTTCTCACACTTTTTTTTCACTAACACCTTCTCCCTCGCTCTTTTTCATTTTGCTCTCTTGTGAATCATTTAGTCAGCAGCCAGTCGATGAGGTCTTTGTACTCCCAAGACAAGCTCCACTGCCCCTCTGCCAAAGCCTGGGGAGACGTCTGTGTGTGTGTGTGTGTGTGTGTGTGTGTGTGTGTGTGTGTGTGTGTGTGTGTGTGTGTGTGTGTGTGTGTGTGTGTGTGTGTGTGTGTGTGTGTGTGTGTGTGTGTGTGTGTGTGTCTGTGCTTTTGTGAGTGTGCCTGCATAGTTGCATTCTGTACCCATTCATGCATGCACTTGGTCAACCTGCAAGTCTTAGTACTTGCAGCCATCAGTTGGTGTGAGTGTGCAGTGCATTTTCTGCTGTGTGTGTGTGTGTCTTACCATATTTGTCCCCATCTTCTCCTCGGGCGCTGATTCTGCGTCCCAGCACCTGGACATGTTTTCCACTAGTGCGGCTGTAGAGCTGGTAGACCCGGTGGTGTCGCCGACTCATGGTGTCTCGTACCTGTGTCTGGTTCTCCACATGCACGCTGAAGTTGACCCCATCCACACCAAGTACCTGCTGCAAACACGCACACCAAGCCAGAAACACGCACCCAGAGGTTAATACAGAAAGCAATGAACAGGTTTAAAAAAAACTACAATTCTACTAGTAAACAACCTGTCTTTTCTTCCGCACACTTGCTCTTTGTAATGCATATAGGGACTCACTCACCTGTAATGGATTGCACATCACCAGCAACATCTGGATACATCTAGGAAAAGTAGAAACAGATTAGTTTAGAAATATGTAAGCAGCACAGAAAGTTGGAAGAGTGATGTGTGACACCATCATTTCCATCTCTTTCTTCTCTGCCGTTCTTTTTTGTTCAACATCTCTTTTCCTCATTGGGTGATTACTCACACTGCTGGGTGTGTGGCTGGCACAACGGCCTGACAAACAGGCAGACAGATGTCTGGTGAGACAGAAAACACCCAGAGCAGTGTTTATCGTTATGCTACCAGCCTTCTGTCCAAACCCACTTTCTGACCCGTTCCTGACATTCGCCACGCCAAAATCTGGCCTCCAAATGACCCGATTGGACCGTGGCGAAATGGCAAACATGCCGAGACAACTAGAACATGTTTTGGTTTGGACATCTGAGGGAAAAGGCTGGCTTATTTGGCTGCTCTGTGTATGTAGACAGCTGGGCTGGGCTACAGGTGTACAGTCTGCCCTGATGTGGCTTGGAGAGTGTCAGACTGTGGTCACATTTAGAGAATAAGCCATGAATAAGTGAGAACACGAGCTACCAAAACGTGAGGAAGGTTGATTTATGGAGGAATCAATTGGTGTGGAGTAATGGTAGTGATGTAGTATGTTGAATTAATGTGTCCATGTGAAATTATACCTTTCATGAACTGTTTTTTTAATGTTCTGACTATCTGGACTGTTTGACACATTTATGATTTGAACAGCTGCTTACCGTTACAATTTAAATTCTTTTCACTCTTTCACATCACTTAATTGAAGTGTAGACCTTGACCTTGGATGTATCACATGTTATTTACAGCTTTAGTTGGGGAGTGACTGTGTTGTGCAAAGTCTCGCCTGGCAGTCCTTGAACTGCTCTGAATTAGTGGCTGAAGACTTAATGAGGTTCAGGACTAAGTGTGTGGGCTGAAAAGATATTCTACAAATTTTGTCTTTCCCCACCTCATCGTTTGCTATCTCTCCGCATGCCTCCTCTCTCTATTGCTCTTTGCTCTGCTCTTTTTCTCTGACGTGTTGTCCTCCCTTTCTCTCCTCTAACATATCTCTCTGTCCGCTCTACCTTTCTCCTATCATCCCCTGCCTCCCAGCTTCCTTTATGTTTGGGGTTAGCAGGGTGACTCCTCCATACTGTCACGGACATACACACAGATGTGCAGTTGTGAGCTGGGTGTGGGTATGTGCTCAGGAGGCGCAGGCAGCTGACAGCTGGGCCAAAGCAAAGACATACACGCTGCTGAGAGAGGGAAAGATAGCGAGGAGGAGAGAGAGGCAAACTGAGAGGTGCACAAAAGGAGAAGGAAAAGGCAGGACAGATGAAGGTGATGTCAGAATAAATAGAGGGGAGACGAAGAAAGAGAAGGCTGACAGATAATAAAAGAGTTGAAAGATAAAATCAGAGTGAATGAGCAGATGCACAGATGTGGGAAGGTCAACAGCTCGAACATCTCAAAGTACGAGGAAAAAAGTGGCAAAATGAGAGACAGTAGTGTAACCACAGAGTGTGGTCTGGCGTGAGAAGTAGACACAAAGATAAATAATAGGATTGAAAGAGGAGAGGGATCAACTCATGCACATCGAAACACATGTCCTTGCATCCTGACTAACACACGCATACCATCTTCCCTCCTGTCTCTCTTTCCCATCACTGGTGTGCAGGCCCCTGAGTTGTTCTAATAGATACAGACACCACGGGCAACGCAGCTGAGTGTTGGCCCTCACATTTTGCCTGCGCAGCCGAAAAAACCTGAGCGCCTGTGCATTGTGAGGACTCTCAGCTGTTAAAACACCACAGCTGCACAGCCGCCGAGGACACTGCAGGAAAAGTGCCTCGGCACTGGATTCCCCCATACCCACAAAAACCACAGACACTCCGTATTATGCCAGCCACAGAGAGAAATAGAAGGAGAGGGGAAAGAGAGAGAGACGGCATCGGTCAGGGGAGGGGGTGGGGGAGGGATGAGAAAACGAGAGAATAAGAGAGCTGCAGAGTAAAAGTCCTGGAGAGTAAAGACAGAAGGAGGTACAGAGAGAGGGAAAGCCTGGTGCGCCTTGGAGGGCCGCCAAAATAAGCATGGGTCTGACATCATAAACCTGCGTCCCAGCAGATCCACCATATGGAGGCTGCGGTTAGACGATCAGGCCTGCACAGCGAGGACTGGGCAGCAGCATGGAGTGAGAGCAGCAGCATGGAGTGAGAGCAGCAGCATGGAGTGAGAGCGGTCTGACTTGTGGGACTCAGCGCAGAGCAGCGGTTTCAGCTGTGTGTAGCAGTGGTTAGCGTGGTAGGCCAACATTGGAGCAGTGGGCTTCGGCACCATGCAAGAGTTTCAGATGTTCAGCAGTGGGCCCTGGTGAAGAATAGTGGTTAGGCTAGTGGGCATGTAAGTGGTATCAACAGTAATGAGGCCTATGGTGGAGCAAGGCTTTAGGAAGATGAGGGCCTCTGACATAGAACTGTGGCTTTAAGAGAAGCAGTAACAGGTTGTTGGTCTTTCTTACAAGATTTTCAGTGTGTTCAAGTTTGTAAAACAGAGTGGAGAAAGTGAAATGACTGTGGTAAAACTGATAGGCAAGAAGGAAATGAATGCAGAGATGATTGGCTATGAAATAACTAAACTTAAACCAGCAGACTAAACAGTGAGTCTGCTCCTCCTCAGATACTGCCAGTGGCGCCATCATTCATCAGTTATCAATTCATGCTTTTTATCTGAGCATATATCTGTGGAAAAAATAAGGTATAGGCCAGACAGGGAGACAGATGTGGGCAGTTAGGTGGGTAGGAGCTGAAGAGAGAGACAGAGAGAGAGAAAGAGAGAGAGAGAGAGAGTCGGGCAGACACCAGCAGCAGCATACACCCTGTCCAGGTTGTGTAAGGAATGAGAAGTATCTGGAGATGACTGCCATCTGGGAGAAGTACAGCCGACACAAAGAAAGAAAAATAAATCCCCTGGCTTTTAACAAGACACACCTTGAATGGACAAACCCGAGCCCCCAGAGTCTGTATCCTACTCTTCTAGATTTGTTCTTGGCACTTTATTATTTTCCTATGCAGCTTGATAAAGCCGGTTTTATTTGACATGACTTCTGAATTATTTTCAATAGGAAGGGAAGAAGAAAAGCATTTTCTTGGCAATGGGAAAATTGCCTTTTCTAAGCCAGCCTAGCCATCCCTGAAGTAAGTGCAGATGGTGATGGAGATGTTTATGGCAGGTTTTATGAGTAACAGGGCCCTGACTCTGACCCAGTGACCCTGAACTGTCAGCCAATCAAAACAGGGCCTTCCATGGCATGTTTTCTATGGGGACTGATGAGGAGTGATGTAATCGTCAGACACTGCAGCCTTCCTCTCCATCATCTTCAACTGTAGCTAGGCCTGTCATTAGTTTACACAACTGAGCAAAGAGATGAATAAATAACACTTTTAAAGAAAAAGTGATAAAAGGGACTTACAAGACGGTCAGCGTGGAAAGAAGGGACCACATCGCTTCCCCCCTCCACTATGGAACTTGGCCCAGAGACAGTCTCCTCGCTCGGTCTGAGCCAGTCCGACAGTCAGGAGAGTTCCCCTCTGCGTTTTTATTCCGGTTGATGTTTTGCAGAGTCAAAGAGTCAGTGGACACTCCCGTTGGCATCGGCGGCGGTGTGCCCCGGTTCCGCTGGCGTGGGTAAATGTGCGGGCGCAGGCAAAGTGGGATGTGAGGGCGGGGTAGCCGTGCCACTGTGACCGTCGGGAAACCTCTAACAGCTGACCAGACCTGTGTGGAGAGGCGGGTGGGCGGGGGAGGAAGGATGGGGCTTTAAAGTCCCCAGCAAGGAGATGAACAGGTGAAAGCGCGTGGAGTTGATAGCCAACTCCAGCTGACCTTGCTGGCCCTCAGAGGGATGCTCGGCCCTGTGGACAGCTGCCTTGCGTGCGTAATCTTCTGCGCAATCCAATGCGTAACGCTTCAGCGCAGCAGCAAGCTTCTGCTCTCCATCAATTAATTTGTTATAAATGATATGGTAAGACACAGTGGTGGAGTTTATGTTCAGGCACAGACAGGAGCAGGAGGCAGATTTAGTTCCAGCAGAGCGGGGTCAGGGGCTGGTGGAGGTGGGCTACCTGAGCTGGCTGATGGAGCAAACAGTGATCTGGAGACGGGCGCTCTGCGGGCGCAGGGTAATGCAGGGCAGCCTCGCTCATGACTGCGGCCCAACGCTGGCTCAACGGGTCTGTGGCTCAGGTGGCACCGACCAACAGTGTTCGACAGAGGTGGCGATAGGGTCCCGGAGCGGTCCAGCTCAGAGGGTTGTATGGAGAGTACTGAATGAGAATGGGTGGGGATCATAAATGGGAGAGAAAAACGAGAGAGGGAGGGGTGGCTGGAGAGGATGGGAACAGCTGTGACTGGGTGGCGGACTCAGCCACCCGCGACACAGCGAGGAAATAACAGCCGCACTTTGCACCTGATTTTCCGGACTTCCCTGCTCGCCTCAGCCGCTGTTTACTGCGTGGTTGCAGCAGTACTCCTTGCGCCCTGTCGACACAATACCAGCCGAAACACAGCACGATGACATCACCTCCAAAATGTTTGAAGGGGGAAAATGCAATCCGATCTTTTTATTTATTATTTTAAACGTAGAAAGTTTAAGCAGTCTCTCTGAAAGGGGAAAAACACGAGTCTCCGCGCTCCGAGAAAAAACAACTCCGCGGTGTGAAAGCAGAAGAGTCGTGCTCGCCAGTTTGTAAAGAAATAAAAGTTAAACCGGGCGCACTGGAGACGTGTTTGCACAAAACCACAGTGACAAATCTACTCCATGTCCAGAACATGCACCGTCGCTCTTCCACTGATGTTTGCTTTCCTGTTTAAGTTACACACCAGATGAAAAAAAAACAACTCAAAGAGAAAGCAGCTAGGTGCGATTTATCCACTTCACTGGTAAAATGCAGGTCCTTCACCGTTAAGAAATTCCAAGGTTTTCTTCCATGAAAAGCTCTTCTTGAGGGGGGCTGCACAAGAGAGGCGCGTCGGCAGGCACAGACCTCACTCCAAGAAAAACCAGAACAAGATTTTAACAGACGCGGATCAATCCTCCCTCCCTCCTCTCCTCTCCTTCCTCCAACCCCTCTCCCTCTCCTCTCTCTGCCTCACACACGCACATGCACACTTATTGGATCAAAATGGGATTAGTCAGTCGTTATGCGATTCCGACCCAACTTGCCCTGCAAAAAATATCCATTTTAACAACTCTTCTCCGCTGCGTAAAAACAACATCCGTTAATGAGGTGATACAATTTTACTTGCGCACAATGCAAAATAACTTTTTTATTTTAATTTTCCCAATCTGGTAATTCTATTTTGGACTCGCCTTATTTCAAGTGATATTTGTTTATGTGATTTCCTAACACCAGTAAAAACGTTGGAAACAATTTGAATGGTGCCAGGGTATCAGGAGGAATTCGTTCGTTAAAAAAATAACTGGACTTCAATACATTTGAGAGAGAAAGTGGCAAGAACTTTCTCTTCACCAGACCGTCATAGGACAAAGACACCTGTCTCAGTCAAGTGAACATCTGCCTCAAAGCCAGGGGGACTTCTTGTCCTTCACTATCTCCACAGAAGATAACCTCACCCCTACACTCTCAATGGCCTCGGACTCTCTCTCTCTCTCTCTCTCTCTCTCTCACACACACACACACACAAGCGCGTGCACACACACGCACACATTCACGCACCCACACACACACCTCTCAGAGCCGCTGCGCTTTCAAGTGATGTATTTTGACTCCCCATTTCATAACTTTTAAGTTAAACCTTAAGTGGGAAAAATGAAACGGAGAATGAGAGACAGTCGGGAGGGCGGTATGTAAGCACGGATATGGATCCAAAACGAACATTTCTCAGGGATTTCGGCAGCAACGCCCGCTCTGCGCTCCCAAAACTCCCTCTAACCGCCGCACAACCGCAGACGGTCAGCCAAGCCAACGCAACACTCCTGCCATACCTTTCACACACACACACACACACACACACACACACACACACACACACACACACACACACACACACACACACACACACACACACACACACGAAAGTAAGAGAGTAAATTTGTACGTGTGTGTGTGTGTGTGTGTGTGTGTGTGTGTGTGTGTGTGTGTAATGGAGTTGGGAGGAGGCTGGCCTCAAACATCAGGGACAGTTATCTTGGCTCCAGTGTAGGCTTATTCTTCTCAACATTGTTCTTTCAAATGTCTCTCTCTCTCACACACGTATACACACACACACACACACACACACACACACACACACACACACACACACACACACACACACACACACACACACACACACACACACACACACACACACACACACACACACACACACACGGTTCTGTAACTGGACAGACGCTTAAGCTGGGCTTGGTAGAGGTACTGTGGTTGAATGCCTTTCCAGTCATGCTCCATAGACAAGCCTCTGGCCTTCTTTCCTACCACTGGCTCTCTCTGTCTCTGCACCTGTGTCTGGGCGCTTTATCGCGCTCACCGCACTGCTGCGAGGGACACAAGTGTAAATGTTGTGGAGAGGGATTTGAACCACATTCTGGTGTTAAGGAATGGGGCCGTCTGGTACTTTTAAGTCCAGATGGAAGGATCCAGGACTGTTACACATCTTGGTGCAATGGCGGAGTAACTAAAAGCAGGCAGAGGAGCCCAATTTACTACACACAGAAAAAAGCTCAGATAATCTTACTAATGAAAATCTGTAATGATTAGAAGACTCTGGGACACTGCAAGTCTATCAGTCCAAGTAGCATGAATATTAGATTTAGGTGAAATATTTTAAGAGAAAATAAAGGTCCATATACAAGAAAGTCTATTCACATCTGGAGTTATGAACAGTTGTAATTGCTTAAGCATTCATGCCTATGTTAGGCTGTACTTGCAGTAAGTGAAAACAATGACTTACAGCTTACTACTTCTGTTGAGATGATTGACAGGTGTTACAACTTGCCACCTTAAAAAAGTTACCTTAATTTGGATATAACAACCTTGTTCAAAAATGACCTTAAGGCTTTTGCTTTCTATTGCTACCTTCTGTCACATCACTCTTGCCATTCATTTTCTGTCCTCCCTATCTGTCTCTTTAATCTCCCCGGCTGTTCTTTATCTGCCCACTCTGTCCCTCCCTCTGTTTGCAGCCAGCATATTGATTGCCCATGTCTTTGCCTCTGCAGCTCCTGCCTATTGATCCTTAGCTAAGACACACATACACACACACACACACACACACACACACGCACACACACACACACGCACGCATGCAAGCACGCACGCACACACACACACACACACACATGAATTTCCCCATTCCCTCAAACATCATTGTACTTCCATGCAGACTAACTTTACCACACTCATTATTCATAAATGAACATGTGCATGTACACATGGGGCACTAAAGCATACAAGAGACACACTCCAAGACATTTTTTGCATATACACTATGTTGTGTTGAATAGACTTGGCATTGATGGACGTTATGCCTTTGTGCTCCTCTCTAGACTCATTAAAGTGAATAAGACTTGTGTGTGTTGTTCTGTGTGTGTATCGGGGGGCCCTGTAGCTGCTGTAGGTCCGGGCCAAGCAGCTTTCTCTCTTGTATCTGTGTATCTCTCTCTCTCTCTTTGACTGGGCATGCAGGCTTCCTCATCCAGGGAGCCTGGTCAATATGGCCATTCTGTCTAGCAATTAACATCGATCAGCGCTCGTCAATACCGTCAGCACCCAGACAAAGACCCAGGGTGCATTGCGTGTGCTTGCCCTTTTTCTATCACAGTCCAACAAATCCCCAAACAGCACTCTCATTATAAGAGGGCATTCTGGCCTGACCCCAAGGTCACCGTGGAGGAGAGGCATGGTGTGCTGGACTCTATGTTATGGGTGACTGGAGTGAAACCCTTACACAGAGCTCTGAGCGCACTGAGCCAAAGGCTAGTTGTTGACTCATTATGACAGCCATGTGTGTGTGTGTGTGTGTGTGTGTGTGTGTGTGTGTGTGTGTGTGTGTGCGCGTGTGTGTGTGTGTGTTTTAGTATGCCTGTGTATGGAGGTGTGGGTGAAGAGTCCAGTTTAGATATTACTTGGATTGTCAAAGAAAAGTTGGCAGACAGACTATATATCTTCCCCATGCTGTGTACCCCAAAGTGTTAAAAACAGTGAAAACTTTGAAGAGTATAAATGCAATCCATCATTCTGGTGACACAAAGCAGATTTAGAGTTCTTAGATGTGTCAAGTGCATTGGATTGTGTCCAATTGGCTTTGTGTATAAGCAGTGTGGGGTATATGTTTGGAGAAGAGAGTGGTGGAGTGAGAGAGAGGCTTGTGGCTTTGATTAATACCTGCAGACCCAGACCTTAAACTTCACATCAGATGTTGAGATGTCAGCCTAACATTGGTTTCTGGGATAGATATCCATACTTCGTTAATCTTGGGCCAAGTTTAAAGTGTTCCCCAATGTGTAAATGTACGAGACACTTAATAAAGGCCCTTTGATGACAGGGGGCCCATGCAAAGTCAAGGAATGTGTACAGTATGCTGTGCTTTGAAATGAGAACCTGTTCGCCACTTGTCCGCGTCTGGGAGATGAGAAAATCAACAGCTGCAACTAAGATCTCAGGATTTAATTAGCACAGGGCCGTTTGTGCAATGGTGTGCCGCTGTTGAGATGAAGAGAAAAGCAAAATATTGTTTTTATTAGCAGCGATGTTGGTGGTGCACAGCCTGCTCCCTTCTCTCGCTTAGCAAGATTAATTCAGCGAATATGAAGGTTTATTCTCCTCCGTAGCCCAATCCGTTGCAGCTGCTGTCTCTATACATAGCCCAGCTGAAGCACTGGAATAACTTTGCTTTGACACTTTCAAGTTGGAAGGTTTGATGCTTTTTTGGACTTGTGTCAGGGTAATTATTCATGCAATGTAGCTTGTCATTGTCAGGCCAAAGCCTGGTTTTGCTGAGTGAACTGTGTCCAGGTAGTCATGTTCTATGGGCTACGTCTGCCTTTCTGTGATAGGATACATTGTATGAATTTTATTTTCAGGGGGTCATTTTAAAATACCTGTACTTCTATAGATGAATGACATGCATAATACTGTACCAATAACATATGCGATCCAGCAGCTACACTATCTGATTTTCACCCTTGTGCCATCTGGCAACCGCTTGTTGAAGTTTGGACACTTTGCTCTGATAAAATGGTTTGTAAAAAACATAAAGACATCAAACTTGGAAAGCGCCATCTCTATGCACCTGGATCATATATCAGCATAATCGGGAACTCATGACAAAACTTTGTGCAGTGGCCAACAACTGTTTTAGAACTTCTGACTGTCCCAAGAGAGTTAAACCAAGGACAGAAATGCAACAACAACAGGGACCATCTGAATATTTGATTAGACATTTACTTACAGAACTGAAGACTAGATGCTAGTAGTGCACCAGTAGTGCCACTGACACTTCTGTCTGGTTGGTGGGGGCTGTTTCATGTGCGATGTGAAGAAGATGTAGAGAAGAACAGGAGTGTAATTGCTTCTGACCAATGAGGTTTTACATAAATATGCAGCGTTCAGTGACTGGGTGGATGTTTGTTTAATTATGGTCCCTGTGGTTGTGTGTGTTTGGTTGAGTGAGAGTGTCATGACCCTCAGTGACAGACTGTACACAGCTGAGTGTTCAGGGTTTGTGGCTGTAGTGTGAATGTGTTACAAGTGCAAAGATTGAGTGTTTCGGGGCTGCAGTGTGCATGTGTGTGTGAGTGTTTGTAAGGGTTAGAAAGAGAGTTTTATCCTGTGCTGTCCATGCATAGTGATATGAATTGCAGCTGTGGCTTTTGTTGGACGTAGATCCAGCATGTTTTTTTCTCCTCCCGTTTCATGTTCAGCCGTTCACTGATGGAATCCATGATCATGGTAACCTTCACTCCTGTCATCTTTTTCAGTTCATCTCTTCCACAGTGCTCCCAC